TGGCTCCAACCCCGCTGCAACCCTTTAAGGATGAGAGGTATAGAATATGGATGGATGGATAATGTAATATTGGCTATTGCTTTCTCAGTTATTATATGAGACATCAGCTTACTCCTATACTAACTTGAGCTGACATACACTGATGCGTGTCTATCAAACTGTGAATTTCCGACTAATGCTACTGTTAATTATATTTAGAATTAAATGTTGGAAAAAGGCTTTTGCTGTCTCTTATTTGTTGTTTTCTGAGGTTTTCCTGGATCTTTTTCCCCTTCATCCACAATTATGTGTGAATTTCAATAGTTGATGCATTTCCTTTGTACATTGTAGTTCCCATCTGCTCTATCGTCAAGTCATCGGGAAAAAGAATAGAACTTGCTCACCCCTGCTGATAAACATGTTTGTGGTGAGGTTTACTTGAATTACCAGGATTGGTTGTTTTGTAGAACGATGTTGTTTAAATGCTTTAGCCTGAGGACAAAGTTTCCTGACTCGAAATCTTGTTTCCCTGCGGGCTCAGCGTTGTGGACCTCAGTATCAGCTGATTGGTGTTTTTATTCAGAAAGAACAAACAAGAACAAATTAGCAGAGGAGGAGTGCTGCCTTGGCAAATTGTGCCCAGAGGAAAGGATTTCTCTCCCATATGTTGGTGGACTTTCAAGCTTTTGGCTTTGTGGGCTGAAGAAATAAGACTTGGGTTTGTTTTTTGTTGCGTTGTTTTTAATCTGTAACCATGCAGACTCTCAACATACCTCATGACTAGTCTGATGCTAAGATATAAATAACGTAAGCACAAGTTAATCAAAAACCTTATCTGTCCTCCAAATCGATTTAGACTCATTCACCTGAAATGACCTGGCAGATTTTAACAGAAGACCATAAAATAACCTGTGTATCAACCATGCTGATAGTCTCTATATGTAAGTTGCACTAAGAAGTGCTTTTTCAATTTGAAGAGACAAGTACATTGTCTATAATCTTTATTACCAAGATTGTCCGTACAACAACCAAATACAATTTTAAAGCAAATGTAAAATATTAAGCTGCA